GGGGCTTCCCGGGGGGGTGGGGGGAGGGGCTGGGTGGGCAGCAGGAGCCTCTGCGCCCCGGAAAGGGGGCTGACCCAGAGTGCTCCAGGTGGGAAAAGAGCGAACCACGGGCAGGAGGTGAGGGCCAGGGGGCACCCAGCCTTCTCTGCAGTTGCTGCACCTCCTCTAATACTGCAGGCTCCTGGGTCCTGGAATGCCTGGCCGAGGGTGAGGGTGCAGGGGCAGGGGGCGGGGCAGCAGTGGGAGGGCCTGCAGACCCTGCCGCACTCTCGAAGGAGCCCAGCACGAGCCTCTGGGGCAGCCTGGAGGAGAACCCAGGGGGTGGGCCCTGCCGGCGGCCAGGAGCAGGGTACGCTTGGGCAGCGTTGAGCACTGGTGGGAAGGAGCCAGGAGCCGCTTCCCGAGGCGACAGCAGGGGGCCGGGTCCAGGGCGGCAGCACTCACCGAGGATCAGCAGCACGTTCCGGGGGCGCGCCCGGCAGAGCCCCAGGACCAGCAGCAGCGCGCAGCAGGCGGGTCCAGGGCGGCGCATGGCGGCTCCAGCTGCGCAGGGCTCGGCTGGGACTCCGGGTCCGGCTCCGACTTCGGCTCGGGTCTCGCCCGGGCCCCGCCCCTCGATCACGTGCGCCGTGGGTCCCGCCCGGCGCCAGCGTCGGTGGCCGGCGGAGGGCAGCGAGGCAGGCCCGGGGGCAGAGTGCTGCCTGGACCCGGGATCGCCCAGGCCGGCTCGGGTGCGAGGGTGCGGCGCCTTCTGCGGGGACCCACCGCGTTGCCACCCTGGCCCCGGCCCTGTTCCTGGCGGACAGGCCGCGGACAGTCGGCAGGCACGGGGTTCCCACCCCAGATCCCAGGGTCCGGGACAAGCAGCGACGTGGGGTGGGTGCGGGCAGGAGTGGATTTTGCCCGGAGCAGCGCAGTCGGGGCCGAGCGGACGGAGGGCGCGGCTGGGCCCGCTCTTCGCGCTTCGGCCTCCTGGTCCCTGAATTAGCCCAGGAGCCTCCGACGTTCTTTCAGAGCCATCTGGGACCCTCGACACGGGAAGGCCACAGGTGGGGCAGTACTGCGCGGCCCGGGGTGCGACACACCGCCCGCCCCGCGCCGCAGTGGCCGTAGTGGGCGGAGCCCGCCCTGGTGCGCACTTGAAAAGCCTGGAGCCCCTTAGGCCCCCACACCCGCACCTGCGCACCACCGGCCAGACGAGGCCCTGGGTGCCTGGGGGACCCTGCTTCCCTCTGGACTGCTCCCACTTACATTTCGGGGAGCTGCTGCCCCAGGGACCAGAAATGTTGCGTCTGATTAGGGTTCTCTAAGACGTCCTCTGTCACCTGCCCATGGTCCCAACTACTGCAGGCCAGGGTTGGTCATAGCGGGACTGCCCAAAGACACCCCTGGTCAGACTTTCCCTGTGAGAGTTGTGGAGGGAGGGAGAGAAGACACCCGGGATTGGGGCGAGCAGATCAGGGAGGGCAGGAGAGCCCAGGCCCTCCTGCCTGGGTGTTGGCCCCTCCCAGCCCAGCATGCCCCTGGGGGTGGGGGGGACCCCTCTGGCTCAGCTCCTGGGAGAGGGGAGAGGACAGTGCCTGTCCTGATGTCCTTGTGCCCGCGGGGCCCTGGTCAGTGACTGGGCTCACTGACCCCACACCCCGCCTCTTTCAGGGATGCCCTCTGCAGTGAAGGCTCTGGGCCAGGCCAGGTCCTCGGGCAGCATGGCGCCCGGCTGCTGCTCCCCGGCGGCCGTGCAGAGGCGGCTGCCCATCCTGGCGTGGCTGCCCCACTACTCCGTGCAGTGGCTGAAGATGCCCTTGACCCCCGGCCTCTCGGTGGGGCTGACGGTCATTCCCCAGGCGCTGGCCTATGCCGAGGTGGCTGGACTTCCACCCCAGGTGAGGGTCTGAGCTGCTGGAGCACGCCCCCCCCAGGGAGAGTGGGCAGACATAATATGGGGGCGCTGCAGCCCAGTGGCTCAGGGAGCTGGGCCCCACGTGGCTGACGGCGACTCAGATCCCGGCCCTGCAGCTTGACAGATGTGCTCTGTGAGTGCGGCCCCACGTCCAACGGGACAGGAGAGGGGGCGAGAGGGAGGCGTGGCCACGCCCCACTAGGGGTGCTTTCCCCTCTCAGTCCTCAGTCTCTGCAAGCTCGCGCGCCCTCTGGCAACTGAGAAAAAGGGAAGAAAAACCAGTACCTCGTGTCCATCCCAGACACCTGCCTACTGTTTGGGCAGGGACGCCCGCGCCCGCTGGCCCCTCCGGCACAGAGCTGCTTCTGCACAGCCCGCAGGCCTCTGTGCCCGTCAGTGGTCCCAGCCCCACCCCTCGTGGGCCACTTGTCAGCACCCAAGGCCCCTGTTGGCTGTTGGCAGGAAGATGTCCCCGGGCATGGAACTAGAGGGTGGTGGTGCTCCCTGCCAGTGTGTGCTACTGTGCCTGGAGCGGGAAGTCGCGCCCACAGGCCCGTGCTCAGACGCGCGCCCGGCACCTGGACACTGTTGGCCGTCTCTCCCCTGCAGTATGGCCTCTACTCTGCCTTCATGGGGTGCTTCGTGTACTTCTTCCTGGGCACTTCCCGGGATGTGACCCTCGGCCCCACGGCCATCATGTCGCTCCTGGTCTCCTTCTACACCTTCCGCGAGCCCGCCTACGCTGTGCTGCTGGCCTTCCTGTCGGGCTGCATCCAGCTGGCCATGGGGCTCCTGCGTCTGGGTGCGTCTCAGCCGCCCTCCCGGTGGGAGGGGCTTCCGTGCTCCTCTCCCCGCCGCCTTGGCCTCAGCACCGCCCCCCTGCATTCCAAGGGCCCTGTACATGTGGGGTTGGGGGAGCTCGAGCCCCTACCTTACTCTCTTCTGCCTGGACGCCAGGACACCCAGAGAAGTTCCCAGGGTTCAGCCCCTCGTCTCCCTTTCCTGCTCTCCAAAAGCAACCCAAAGGGTGTGCCACTCGCAGCCCCCGAACCACCTCCCAACACCCACCCTCCTCCTCTGGGACAGGGTTCCTGCTGGACTTCATTTCCTGCCCGGTCATTAAAGGGTTCACCTCTGCTGCCGCAGTCATCATCGGCTTCGGGCAGGTCAAGGTAGGCAGGGTGCCCGCTCAGGCACTGCCCTGGGGCTGCTGACGTGTCCAGGACAGACTCCCCTCCACCCAGTGCCCCTAGTTTCCACCCGATGTCCTCCCACCCAATTCTGGGCTGAGACCTCAGAGCTTGCCCCCTGGGGACCTGGCCTGGATGCCCCTGAGGCTCTGTCCAGTCTCAGGGACACAACTAAAGCAGAGTAGCCCAGGCTGCTTTCTCCGGAGGACCCTGCAAGTCTGGGATCATGGCACCCCCCTACTTGGCTGGAAGTCACCCATACAAAACTTCCCCCTCCCCTGGGCTAGACCCACCAGCCCCGTGGGTTTCCTCCTGCAGGGGGCTTTGCTGGGTGAGCAGGCGGCCCAGTGATGTACACACCTCTAACCCGTAGCAGTGGGGGTCTGTGGCAGGGGCCGGGCCACCGAGTCACAGAGGGCCTCGGGCCAGTGTCAGCGGGGCGAGGGCGGGCAGCCCAGGGGCACTGTTCACTGGCCTGTGGAGGCAGGGCCCTGCCCTGATATCACTCAGCCTGCCTTTTTCAGAAATGGAAGTGACTTAGAAAAACATGTCATTTGTCAAACGCTATGGTTCTGTCCCCTGAGGGTGCCTTTGCTTTCCCATCCCTGGGGCCCTGGGAAAGGGTGGGTGGTCCCCTGAGACTCCAGAGTGTGCTTCCGGCAGGGCCCTGGGGTCCGTGGTTCCTGCCACAGCCAGGCCAGGAGGCCAGGCCCAGGTCTGGGTGTTTGTCCCCATCCAGGCTGGGCGGGGGAGGGGAATGGGGCAGAGGCATGAGGGCTGCTGGGAAGGTGGCCTGATCGGATCTCCGTTTGCACAGAACCTCTTGGGACTGCAGCACATCCCGAGGCAGTTTTTCCTGCAAGTGTATCACACCTTCCTTCGTGTTGGAGAGACCAGGTACCCGGCTGGCTTTTCTCTCGTGTGAGAAAGCTCCTCCTTCCGGACGCCCTCTCTCAGACCCTGTCCCACCCCAGGTGGCATTTACTCTCCTGGGGTCTCGCTGTGCAGATCGGGGACCCTAGAGCAGTTCCAGGGTAAACTGGTTAGAAATGCCAGCCCCAGGCCTGCTCAGACCTCCTGAGTCAGGATCAGCATTTCAGCAGGTCTGGGACCCTCAGCCTCAGAGCCTCGGGGTGGGGGGGCAGGAATGGGAAGGGCTACGTAAGGGAAGACGGGCCGTCTAGCTCGTGTGGACCTAGGGTTCCATCGCTTAGGGAGGAAGAGCACATGGATGGGGGCCTTGCAGGTGCACAGACGGGGCACAGGAGCGCTGAGGTGGGTGGGGCCGGCCCTGCAGGACGAGTCCCCCGTGGTTGAAGTAGAGTCCCTGGTAAGGGGACCTCCACTGCTAGACGAGCTTGGCAGGAGGGCCCGAGGAGTATTTGGGGGGCTCTAGAAGGGGTGCTCCGGGGCAGTCTTCCGGCTCTGATCTGCTGCTGGGTCCCAGGAGCTGAGGCAGCGGCAGCCAGTAGGGGTCAGCCGCTGGGGCAGAGCAGGGACTGACCGGAAGGGCCTGGTCCAGGCCGTGCTGTTCCTGGTAACAGAAAGCCAGAAGCTGGTGCTTTGTAAGAACAGAGGTGACCCAGCCCCGAGGCCTGCGGCTCCCAACTGCATCGCGTGGCGGAGGGCAGAGTGCAGGCCTCTGAGTCTGTCTCCTCTCTCTTCCCCTCTCCTTGTAAACCCACCAGGAGTCAGTCACGAGGACCTTAATCCCCGACGACCTTAACCCCCATCCCCTCCCAGAGGCCCCACTTTTTTTTTTTTTTTTTAAGACTGTTTTTTCCA